TGTAAATTAATCAGAGAGTCAGTAATTCTTAGTAACCGTGTCATTTGAAGTCCAAAGGTCTCCAAATGACATGCAACCAAAACAAACATAGTTCACTACTGAAGCATTTTTTTGTACATTTCTGATGTAAATTTCTCTGTGCAGAACAAATATCCAGTGAAGTACACCACAGAGAAGGACATAAGTCCAGAGGTTAAATCAGAAGGGACTGCAAAAGATACACCTTAGGTTTATGTGAACAAGTGGAGCTGATATTTGGGATTATACTTTTATAGAGTATAGTATTTTATACAGTTTCTTACTGCTTTATAGAGAAATGCTTCCATATGAAAATGTTTTTCTCCAATGTTAACTAATGTTTATTAAGGTTTGATCATTAAAGCAAAATGTTAAGTTTGCTAGGTTTGTTTAAATGATTTACTATATTGTATATTATTGCCAGAAAAATAATCAGAAGATATTTCGATATAATTTTGATGCCAATCATGATAAACAAGAACTACTGTAAACATAAGGTCTGGAGACCTAATTGTAGTTAGTTAAATTAAGCCCTATTTTTAATCAAATCTCCATTGTACCAGTGTTGAGAACATATAAAGAGGATGGTACAGCTCTAGGAATGTTGGTATCCATCTCTGCATCATAAATCCCAATTTTACCTCTAATCAAAACAGATTATATTCCATAATCTCTCTATACCCAGAATTCACTGTGAAACCTATGGCTGAAACTGAAGACAAACCAAATGCTGTAGCATTACAAAGCAATTTACTCATTGTTGTGCAAATGAAACAAGTCAAGCAGGACAGTGTGAGGTATTTGACACTCACTGTGACAGGCACATACAATCTCTCCACTTGCTCTGGACTGCCTAGGTTGGTCACAGCCCCACCATATAGTCCACACACAACTCCCATCTGCAGGTCAGAAGAAGTGGTATAGTAATATCACATAGCCGAATGACTGCAAAGCCAAAGGAATGCAAATACAGTCAGAATATGCAAATAAGACACCACTAAACATGTCCGTTCGAATGCTTTGCATAGACACGTATGTTACAACAGGTGAAGGAGGCTGAGAGACCATATTAATCAAATATTCCCACCAGCCTGAAAGATACACTCTATGGCCAAAAGTATGTGGACACCTGACCATCATGCCTATATGTGCTTTTTTTTAACATCCCATTCAAATGTTGGTTACCCCTAGAACAGCCTCCAGCTTTCAGAAAGGCTTTCCACTAGATTTTGGAGCATGGCTGTGGGAAACTCTGTCCAGTCAGCTACAAGAGCATTAGTGAGGTCAGGCACTGAGGAGGTGAGGAGGCCTAGTGCACATCAGTGTTCAGTGGGGTTGAGATCAAGGCTCTGTGCAAGCAACTTAGGTTTTTTTTACACCCACCTTGGCAAACCGTGTCTTCACGAAACTTGTTTTGTGCATAAGGGCCCTGTCATGTTGGAACAGGTTTGGGCCTCTTAGATCCAGTGAAGTGAAACGGCAAACAATGCTACAGCATACAGTGGCATTATAAACAATTGTGTGTTTCCAGCTTTGTGCCAAAAGTTTGGGGAAGAACCACATATGGGCGTGATGGTCAAGTGTCCACAAACCTTTGGGCATATGTTGTACATGTTACAATATAGGTTCACAAACCCAGTCCAAACCCAGCAGACCTCCATTTTTTCTAACCTGAACACTAACTGGTGAATTATCAAGATCTGGATCTGTTTGAACCAAATGTCGATTAGTGCAATGGCAATGCATCTTCACAGCTGGAGTAAAGAAGGCCTTCTATAGCGTATCTTTTTCAACAAGCATATGAAATTAGAAAGTAGCACCTTTACTCCAGTGGCCATATCTGCAGAACAGATCAGCTCTGTGATGCACAGGCTCTTGCTTATGAAACCTTTCTTTCTTCCAGCAACCTACAAGCAACAACAACAACAGCAAAACAAAAAAAATACATCAAGACTTGCTTGTCATAAGTCCATAATGTTAGCTATGAACATTGCATGATTTGGTGTATTGGCTCCTTCACCTGATCACTGAGATGGCGTTTCATTAGAGGGAGTTTCAAGACAAAGTGCAACCTGTGTACAGTCAGCTCTCTGCTCTGATCCAGAGTCAGGTCATGGCTAAATGGAAAAGAAGGCATTTCAATGAAACACATTTGGTTAAATGAAAATACACTTTATAATTCATGCATCATTCATTCATTCATTCATTCAACATTTGTTCTTTTATCCTGGTGCAAGTTGAGCTGACTGAGCTGTTATGATAGAGCTGTTATGTTATGTTGTTGTTGTTAAATATCATATTGTTTGTCCACCACAGCATCATACAGTAGAGCTGAGATCCATCAATCTAACCAGGTGTCAGTTAGAGACTGTGTTATACTGTTGCTCCTGTAGCCAGTGTGTGCCTACCTGCTGTGCTCGAACAGTTCACATCTAGAAATTTCCTCCCGCAGGATGTCTTTGGTCTGCCAGAAATCTCCATCAAGATATCTGGAAAGGCTGGTAGCGAAATATTTCTGAGACATTTGGGAAGACAGCGGTGATCCCCCTGTTACTTTTCCGACGGTCCCTTTTTTTTTTTTTTTTTTTTTTTTTTTTTTTTTTTATTTCCACATTTCACTTCCGTGTTTTGATGATGTCACATCAGCGCATACTCGTAACGCATACTCGTAACGATTGTTACGAAGATTAATGTTAAACAGACTTACTTTATTTTAGCTCACTTTGGTTAAACCTTTTCTGAAAACTCTCCATGTGCTCAGTTTACTTACATAAATAAATAAATAAATAAATAAGGTCCTCCCTCATTATTTTCCTTTCCCACTTTTCCTTGGCTTTACATTATACTATACAGGGTCACAGGGTCACCTGGAGCCTATCCCAGTGGGACTAAGGGCACAATACAAGGGTCAACCTGGATGGGTTGCCAGTCCAACACAGGGCACAATCACATACACATTCATTACAGACAATCTAGAGATGCCAGTCAGCCTACTACTCATGTCTTTGGACTGGGGGAGGAAACCCCCGAAGCACGGGAAGAACATGCAAACTCCACACACACAAGGCAGAGGCAGGAATCGAACCCCCAACTCCTGGAGGTGCAATGCAAAAATGCTAACCACTAAACCACCATACCCGTCACACCATTTAATTAAGAAAGAAAGGAATTTTTTGCATTAGCAGTGGTCTTTTTATAATAACGGTTGTCGTGTATACATCCTATGATATTGCTGCTGTTGTTGATCCTGTTATGGATTGCCACAGCAGATCATTGGTCTACGTATTTGATTTGGGAAATCAAATCGAACCCAGGCCGCAGCAGCAAGAGCTTCATCATAAGGATGGAATTAGGTGGTGTGCAATGCATGGTTTCCTCCAATGCTTGGTATTCAAGCCAGTCAAACCGCAGAATATTGTTTCTTATGACTCAGTAGTTCTTTCTGTGGCTTTTGTTAAACTCCATGCAAGATGTCGTGAAATTTTACTGATGACTGTCTTTTGTCTGACCACTCTTATGGCTTGAGGGATTGTGTATTGCATTGATCCTTCCCCTTCTGGCAGATTCTCTCATCTCCACACAAGACCTCTAGAGTTCCCCCAGAGTGACCTTCATGCACTTGCCCACCTCCCTGACTAAATCCCTTTCTCTCCTGCTTGCATAGTTTCACTGAGTGAATCTCAGTAGGAAGAGGAAGAGTCTCAATAGTTCTGAACTTTCTCTATTTAGGAATGATAGAAGGCAATGGGTTTTAAGGCCCTTCAATGCTGCAAACATTTTAGTTCCTTTTTCACAACCTGCACCTCTCCTCAGTCCTGTCCCAGAGGTGTATGAATGATTCATTTGATTTTTACTGACCGTATTGTTGTCAGATATTGTTAAGCAGATGCAAGTGCAGGGTTTTATTAAAGAAAACACAAACAAAACAAACAAAGTGGAAACAAGGATCATTCACTATCAAAAACAACAGTAAGAGCAAGAACAACATGGTATACTACATACATAATACTAAGCACAACTGAGGAGAAATGCAACAAAAGCTTGACAATGAAACACAAAGAAACTGGAACTAATTAGTGAAATAGAAGACAGATGAGAGTAATCAGTGAGGTGAGTGACCAGAGCTTGGCTTGGGAGGCTGCCTCTAGGCCTCTGGCTTGAGCATGGCTGGAAAGGCTGCCCTGTCAGCCCCTAGCTTAAGTTTGGCTAGAGAGGCTGCCCCATTGGCCTCTGGCTTGGGCTTGGCCTTTGTTTGTCCTTCGTCTCCAGCCATCCCTTCAGTGCAGCCACCTGTGTTCAACACATCAGCTATAGACTCCCTCTCAAAAAAATTTCTAGGTGAGGCCTAGCAGCAAGCTGATGTCGAGCTGCTTCTGTTGTTCCATGACTAGGTGGTTCTGTGCCATCAATTCCTGATAAAATTTCAGGAATCATGCTGCATCCATGTTTAGGTCAGATATTGGAAAATGGATGCAAATGCAAGGCTTTATTAAACAAAACACAAACAAAATAAACAAAGTGGAAACAAGGATCATTCACAAACAAAAACAAGAGTGAGACTAAGCATAACCAAGGAGAAATGTGAAAAAAATTCATAAACTTAAATAGAGTTAGTAATTTGTGAAACACAAGACAGCACTGACTTAACAATTGTTTTTTGCTCTGACATGACCTGCCAGATTTGGGGCTTTATATACCCCATTGACCAGACCTGATGCTAACTTTAATCCTCGAGGTGGGGAGTGGGGATTGAGTCTATGTTGTGTGTTCTGATTAGTAGTGACCTGCACTATGTACAGTTTTGAATGGGGTCAAATGCTTTGTTTGATCTGATCAGAGCTGGATCTACCTAATAAGTGACATAAGCAGTTGCTAAGGGCCCTGTAGCCACCAGTGGGACCCCAACAAAAGTTGACTTCTGGAAATATAATGTCAATAAAGTTTGAAAAGTTTGAAACATTTCTATTTCTACTGAGGAAAGAAATTTGACGGATTAGGTATGTGTTTCATAATGACTATGTCCCAAATACACTGCATACAAGTGATGGGGGAAATGGATAGAACTTGTTACTGTTAGTATGACAAACTTTGCAGCACTTCATTCAGAGAACAAAAGAAAACTTGTGCCTTTCTGGCTTGATCACGATCTCTGTTGCTGAGCTTTCACTTGTATGCTCTCACAGCCGTTCTCTGCGCAGTCTAATAGAGAGGGAGAGAAGACAGTTAAATATGGGTTAGATATCAAGGTTTAGGTGTTCCATTTCCTGCTATAGACATTAAATGTTGACACTGATTAGTCTTCTGCTCTAGTGGTGGCAATGAAACAACAAGAAAAAGAAAAAGTTTAATATATATATATTGATTTATTTCTTTTTTACCAACAATAATTTTGCTATAATGCTGAATGTAAGTGTTGAAATAAATCCCAGCAGCAAATATTTTAAAGTATATTGGTGCAAGAGCACAGGGAAGAGATTTGTAACTAATATAGTTGATGCATACATTTGCATATACAGTATATTGCCAAAAGTTTTGGGACACCCCTCCAAATCATTGAATTCAGGTGTTCCAATCTCTTCCATGGCCACAGGTGTATAAAATCAAGCACCTAGGCATGCAGACTGCTTCTACAAACATTTGTGAAATTGAGGATATTCAATTACATTGAGGAGCTCAGTGAATTCAAGCATGGTACCGTGATAGGTTGCCACCTGTGCAGTAAGTCCATTCGTGAAATTTCCTCACTACTAAATATTCCATGGTCAACTGTTAGTGGTATTATAACAAAGTGAAAGCAATTGGGAACAATAGCAACTCAGCCACGAAGTGTTAGGCCACGTAAAATCACAGAGCGGGGTCAGCGCATGCTGAGGTGCACAGTGCGCAGAAGTCGCCAACTTTCTGCAGAGTCAATAGCTACAGACCTCCAAACTTTGTGTGGCCTTCAGATTAGCTCAAGAACAGTGCGTAGAGAGCTTCATGGAATGGGTTTCCATGGCCGAGCAGCTGCATCCAAGCCTTACATCACCAAGTGCAATGCAAAGCGTCAGATGCAGTGGTGTAAAGCATGCCGCCACTGGACCCTAGAGCAGTGGAGACGTGTTCTCTGGAGTGACAAGTCACGCTTCTCTGTCTGGCAATCCGATGGATGAGTCTGGGTTTGGCGGTTGCCAGGAGAACGGTACTTGCCTGACTGCATTGTGCCAAGTGTAAAGTTTGGTGGAGGGGGATTATGGTGTGGGGTTGTTTTTCAGGGGTTGGGCTTGGCCCCTTAGTTCCAGTGAAAGGAACTCTTCATGCTTCAGCATACCAAGACATTTTGGACAATTTCATGCTCCCAACGTTTGGGGATGGCCCCTTCCTGTTCCAACATGACTGCTCACCAATGCACAAAGCAAGGTCCATGAAGACATGGATGAGCGAGTTTGGTGTGGAGGAACTTGACTGGCCTGCACTCACTTGATGAGTCCTGACCTCAACCCGATAGAACACCTTTGGGATGAATTAGAGCGGAGACTGAGAGCCATGCCTTCTCGTCCAACATCAATGCCTGACCTCACAAATGCGCTTCTAGAAGAATGGTCAAAAATTCCCATAAACACACTCCTAAACCTTGTGGAAAGCCTTCCCAGAAGAGTTGAAGCTGTTATAGCTGCAAGGGGTGGGCCAACTCCATATTAAACCCTACGGATTAAGAATGGGATGTCATTAAAGTTCATGTGCATGTAAAGGCAGATGTCCCAAAACTTTTGGCAATATAGTGTACATTAATACACTTGCAATAAAATGAATAAGAGATACAGTACATTTTTCATTTTGATTTTTCCCGAAGTTTTGAACTGATTCTTGTTACAGGATACACACACATTTCATTTTAATGTCTTGACATTCTTGACATTCTTGTCATTCTATTCTTGGGATATAAATACTAAAATAGGTTATAAGGCCATGGAGAATGCAAACGTTTGCACTGAACTGTATTGTATGCAAACATTTGTGTTGTTTAATCGGTAATTATTTTATAATGACACATTTTAAGTAATGAATGAGAAAATTTGAAACAAACAAACAAACATTATATTTAATTTGCAGAAAGGATTCATGTTCAATGCATGTAAAAAAAAAAAAGCAAAGAAAAAAAAGCATGTCCATCTAATCAAGAGGGAATCATTTCAGAATTATGCAAAACTATATTATGTTGTTTATCCTGTAGAGAACTTACATATAAATGCAGTTATACATTCTCTCCATTCTGTCACCATTTCTTCACCTGAGAAGGGTGCCACAGGAGGGTGCTGTAATGAAGTTAGCAATTCTGGTGAGGAGAGCCTAAATGAAAATGCTAGAGCCAGCCCTGGGTCTGATCACTCAGGCCATTTGTGGCTACATTACAATTGTACTGGGCATATGCACAACTAAGAGCTGCCTACTTACTTCACCAATGCAATCAGATAGCAGATTAGCTATGTACAAGCCTGTGACTGGGGACTGGCTAATTTACAACAAAGTGGTTCAGCTAATTTGGAATATTTGTGCAGAGTGTAAGTCAAACTGTTCGCAAAACGACAGCCAAATCATTGTCCAATATGGTTCACAGACAGAGCAGGGAAGGCCAGAATGTTGTCAACTGCTGTCTCTGTTGTAGTTTACACTGCTGCACATCTGACAGTCTATGCAATCAGTGTTGTTGGCAGCCGCACTAATCCCAAACAGGCCATTGTTCTGCCTGCTATTGATGTTATTGGTGGGCTCTCTGTGGCTGCTACCCAACAAACCAGACTTGCTTTGGGTTACCGTGGGACAGAAAACCACACACCTTTTTGTCAAAACTTGTCTCTGATCTCCATAAAAAGATGGTTCTGAGTAGGATCTGGATTTGTTGCTAAGCAGTTTGTGCAACTTGCCAAGTGAACCAACGTAAGACATGGATATAAATTGGCTTTTGCTCTAGAAGTTTTTTTTGCTGGCTGTTATTGTGGCCAAATGAGTTAGCAAAACATACATTGTCAAAAACGCATTGTGCAAAAACATAAATTTAGTTCCCTGAACTAGTTACCAAGAAAATCAAGTTAAACACTTATTTCTCAACCAGGTAACAGCTCTTCAATTTCATCTCCCTTTAGGTTGAGTAGCTGCTG